TAGAAATATTTTAATAGAAGAAAATATTTTAGCTTTACGCTCTCAATTTTTACTATTCTTCGACTTTTCACGTTTAACAGATAAACACTTACTCTTTCTGCCGTTCTCTCCCCCTCTGTTTTGCTTGTTTCTTTATAATTTTGTCTATCTATCTCTCTCTCTCTCTCTCTTACTGTCTATGTCTTTCTCTTTTGTTTATTTCTCTCTAATTTTATCTATCTATCTCTCTCTTTCTGTCTATGGCTTTCTTTTTTGTTTCTCTCTCTAATTTTATCTATATATCTCTCTCTCTCTTTCTGCCTATCTATCTCTCTTTCTGTCTATATATATATATATCTCTTTCTGTCCATATATATATCTCTCTCTTTCTCAATTGCCCTAAATTTTTTTCTCTATTTTACTCAAACTGAATTCTTTTTTCTCTTTTTTTAACATCTCTTTCTATCTCCTTAAAATTTGATTTTTGTTATTAATTAAACTTAAATTAATTAATCTTTAATCTTTATCTTATTATAGATTATCTTTATTAATCTTAAATGTTTATATTATTTTTGACAAAAAATTAAATTTTTTATCCCGCAATAAAATTAAAAATTAGGGAGTCCTTTTTCTAACTTTCTATTGGTTTTGAATTAATTCGTAATTACTGAATCTGTGCTTAAAGTCCCTTATCTTCCTTTAATTTTGAAGTTGTCTTCAATAAAATTAAAAATTAAGAAGTCCTTCTTCTGGATTTCTATTGGTTTTAGATTAATTCGTAATTACTGAATCTGTGCTCAAAGTCCCTTATCTTTCTTTAATATTGAAGTTGTCTTCATTTCTGTTTTATAGTTTCAAAAGATATATCAATAAAGCTATAAATCTTTTCATTCTAAGACGTTTTACTATAGTCTAGGACTGAAAAATATTTAATTTTTTAGTAATTTATTTTAATTTTACATTTATTAATATCATATATTTGTATTTATATATAGTAAACATGATAACATATATTGCTAATATATTCAAATATATTGCACTTTGCACATCTGTCATTTAAATTATTTATTGAATTAATTTTTTATTTAGATTTTTATTTCATAAAATTTTTAGATACTCATATATACTATATTTTATAACAAAAATTTTTAATCATTTGATGGCAAATTCAATTCTATATTCATTCCATACCATTTATTATTCTGTTTTTGAAATTCTACCACATTAATTGTTTATAGCAGATGTTTTATTAATTATTTTTCGTAGGCGTTTTTAGCAATTTAAGAAAAAAAAAATAAGCTTCCTATAAAACATTTTATGAGATACATTATTTAGAGACAAAACAAAAAGTTTAAAATAGTCAAGTTCTATCAACTAATTGATACCAAGAATTGAGTTAAATATTATGATCATTTTATTATAATAATAAACACTGTTTTTTGAAAAGTTATTGTTTTGATTCCGAAAAATTTAGAATTGTTAAACTTGTAACATAATTCTAAATAATTTCATTTGTTTTTAGATTACAATTATTTATAAAAAATTCGAACTTAAAGTTTGAAATATACAAAATAAATAAATAATTTTTATATTCACTGCAATCAGTTCAGCTCAAATATAAATAATCCGTCTTTTTGAGCGTAAGTTCCTCCATAATTGCACAAACTACAAGCAAACACCTGACGGTAAATATTTCTCCAACCTCATGCTTTACAAGCAATCTCGGATTACTCGCATCGAGGAGTACCTCCTGACGGCTGCCTGATAGTAAATCACCCAGCTGCATAACCTACTCCCTGATATTTCAATCCCTACCACACTTTCCTCTAACTTCTTGCCAGCTATGCACCACATACGCTTCAATACCTCAACTTATACTTCAATGAGTTGAGGTCAATTACAGATGACCTAATAACTTATAGCCAAATAAAAAAAAACCCATATATTGCTCTATAACTATAAATTATTTGGAAATTGTAATTTATTTAACTTAAAAGTATCTAACCGGTTCCAAACAAATTTTAGAGTTTTCAGTATTTGAATTATTAATTTATAACTGATGGTTCCAAGTATTTACTTATTTCATCTTATCTAAAAGTTCAAGCTATTGGAAATTTTAAAATCCGATCATTTAGAATATATTATAATCTCATTTAATCTTTTTAAGTAAAATCTACTACAATAGAGACTTCTGAAAAACTTAAGTGTTACTCTCTGCCTCTCTCCCAACAAAAAGTTAAGTCCAAAGAAAATTTCTACTGCGTTAAATCGGCTGGACAGTTAGACACAATCAAATTAAAAAATCTTGTAAGGTTGGTCATGGCTTACAATCAGATGATTGAGAAGATACGTTAAAGTCCCCAATCACATCAGGCCCCAAGCTTATATTTTCTATGTTTGAAATTGCTAATACATTATAATAATAATAATTAATGGATTGATAAAAAAGGTGTTGGCATCATTGCTTTCCAAAATTTTATCATTGAAAGGAGATGGCTTACAATCAAATGATGAAGCAGGTGAGGTACATACCCTAATTATAACAGGCCTCAGGCTTATACTTTCTTTGTTTGGAATTGCTTATATATAATATTAATAATAATAATTATTATTAATGATTTAATAAAAAAAGGTATTGGTACTCGTATCTTTGCTCTCCAAAATTTTTTGAAATTTTCGTTTTACTCGCTCCTTCTTAAACTCTCCATATCTATGATAATAAATGTATATTTTATATATACAAAAAATTTTAAATTCATGGTATTTTGATACCTATATTTTACAATCGTACTATATACAATTTATTAGATAATCCTATATTTTCTTTATAGATATTTAAACTATTCAATGTCATGTTTGTTCCATTAATCGGTCATTATTTCAGCTGGGTATTAAACACTCAAAATCAAGTACCTAAACGATTTTTCTATTTTACAAAACTAAGAGAAATTGAATATAAACGCCGGATATTCAATATATATATATATGTATATATTGTATATATATATAATTTCAAATATTTTATCGTTCACACAAATGCTTTAAGTCGGTTTCTTCTGTTTTTACTTTTAATTCCTAGAAAACGATATGAAATTGTTTTTATTGTTCTATACAAAAAAGAATTTTTTTTTTATTTAATTTTATTTTATTTATTCTGAACTTTTCTTTGAGTATTTATTTGTTTTATGTGGGCAGTAGTAGCACAAAGATTAAAATTATTTAATTCATTTTATAGAAACTGAAACGAACGATTCGGATCGTTCGTGCTGAAAATTATTGCATACAGTATTCAAATCAGCCGTTGAAATACTGAAGCACTTAAAGGCAAAAACTTTACTGCTAATTTGTTTATTTTTATGTAAATAGTACGTTATGGGAATTTCCTACATTTTAGTAGAATTAATATTAATTCATACATATGTGTAATTATACTAAGTAATTATATACCCTATAATCAGCAAAACGAAATTCAGTATAACTAGTGTAGTTGAAATTATGCACGTGCTTTTTTTTTATACTTAAAAGAAAAATTAGAACAAATTATAAATGAAATAGAGCAACATCATTTTTTTTTTAAGTACTCAAACATATTGTAGATTAAGGAAACACCCACTCTCTTCTCTAAAATTCTTAAAAACGCACCTGTCTTCATATCAAAGAACAAAATGGTAGAGAGCAGAATAATGAATCCAAAATAAACTTTGAACTGAAGCCGGAAATATTTTTTATATTCTAAAAATTACTAATCAGTAATAATAAAAAAAAAACATCCATTTTTTTTTAATTTATAGTTTATTTACACATCGCTAAAGTAAAAAATTCTCTTTAAAAAATAGCTAAATAGATTAAATTGGAATTTTAGTCCTATAAGTACCATTGGTTCCAAGAGTGATCAGAGATATTAAACTTATTATACAAGTAAATGTTGTTAAGCCTTCTCTCCAATAGGAACTCAAAAAGTTTTGTAAATTATATTTCTAATTCATATATTCAACATAACAACAGACCCCACTAAGGTAGCATTTCTAGAACCCTCTTAAATCATTCACTAAACTAATTAGCTTTCAACTTTACCTTAAATAATCTTTTTGATAATCTCATATTTTATTGTTTGACAAGTACATATATTTTTTTTAGTTAATCTACTATAACTCTTTGGTGAGTCAAAAACATAAAGTCCACAAATTATTTCATTGCAATAAGTATAGTTTTAGCAACTAATAATACGTCTATGAGTACTTCAATTCAAGCTGATAACTTCAGACTTTTATTTTAAAGTATACTCTTCTTCTTGATTCTACTTCTTGAGTTAGTGCTATTAAGCACTTTTACTCTATAATGGCTGGGGGGCTTATCTCTACCCCACACTAGGCTTTAACTAGGCTAAGAAATTATATCATTTATTTGTCTTTTAGTTGATGACGGACCTTAAATCAGCATATCATCCTGAGAGTCCAGAAGTGGACTTGAGGATTGTTAGGGCGGGGTTAAGTAGCGTATCAACTTTAGTGAATAATTTTGGAGCTCTATCTCTGATACTGAATTGTTGTATTTAGTTTAAAACCCGTTTGTTGAAACCCGTCTTATTCTGTCGTATTTGAGGAAGTTTAGCTTATAAGGAAAATAGAGCTTGGATGTCGATAGCAAAGAACTTCGGCATACGGTTACGACTGTCTCGGGAACATAACTGCCTCGCGATATCTTAATAATAAATATAATATATTATTATATATACTATTATTATATATATAAATCAAAATTATATTATTTAAAGTATTATATTATTGTCTCAAGTTTTTTAATAACCTAGGTTCATATACTCTTTATTACTTTGTTTATATATGTAATATAAGAATGTAGAAGAAAAATGACAATTTAAAATTTAATTTTATTAAATATAATTTTAAATACATAATATTAATTATAAAATTTAATTTAATTAATTTAATTTAATTTTTAATAACTTAAAATTTCAAAATTTAAAAATTTAAAATAATAATTTAATTTTAAATATATAAAATCGTGTAATGCATAGCATAAATTTGTGCAATATTAAAATATTCATTTGAGTAAAATTAAATAATATTTATATATATGTTTATATATTCTTCAAAAATTAATTATCCAATTTTCTTATCATTTTAGCTCGTTTCTGTGGATGGGATACAAAGTGGCGTGCCCACCTTGACAACGCCCACCTTAACACCGACAACTTTACGCAGCATCGAAGATACCTTTATACAACTAACAAATGAACCAATCAATGCACCTTTTCAGGCTGGTTTTGTCCCTCCATCTTATTGTTTACCATATTCCACAAGCGAAGCCAACGAAACTGAATCCGATGTCGATTCACAAGCATCTTGGAATGCCAACCATTTAAATGAAGAGAATTCTATGGCCACTACTGATACTTGTAAGTCAATATTTTTAATATATATATTACGATAACAATTATATTAATAAAATTTTCTTTATTTTATATATAAACAGCAAGTGCCGCAACTGATACCGCTTCTTTTACTGGCTTAATCAATAATTCGTTTGGAGCTACCTCAAATGCATCGTCCACAAATGATTTTACCGCCATAAATATAGCTTTAGCATCGAAAGCATCAGTTAAAAATGCAACAAGCCTTTTGGGCAATTCAACGAATAATACCTCAATCAGTGCCACAACAACACCACGTCGTAATCAAGGCGGTCGCCGACCAGCCAAAGACACAAATATGACACCAGAAGAAGAAGAAAAGCGACGCATACGACGTGAACGTAATAAGTTAGCTGCAGCACGTTGTCGTAAACGACGCGTCGATCAGACGAATGAATTGCTGGATGAAGTTGCACAGCTTGAGAGGAAACGAGAAGGTTTACAAAAAGAAATTGAAAATCTAAATGGCGTAAAACGTGATTTAGAATATGTACTAGAAGCACATCGTTCCACCTGTCAGAAAATACAAAGCGATATCTTAACAGTACATACCATTGGTGGACTTATTGCGCCGACAAATACCAATAGCAATGACAGCACCGGTACTATAACAGGTCTAGATACAACACTATCCTCTGCTGGACGTTCTGCGTCACCACTCGATCTTAAGCCAAATATCTTGGGCGATACGAGCGTATTTGGCGATATGGTGCATATCAAAAATGAACCACTCGACACACTCGATTCCATGAATTCATCACTTGATAACGACGATGATGGACCAACATTACCAAAGCGTCTTCTGCTCAGCAATAATAATCCAATGATACCAATGATACCACCAACATTACCACATATGGCAACAATCACAGCATCCTTGGCAGCTGCTGCCTCAGGTTCATTAAATACGCCTGTTGTCACTACGGCACCAGTAAGTTTCGCTTCATTTAGCAACACAACATTGAACGCATTGAATAAGCAACCAAATAGCAGTAGACAACGACCAAATTCATTGCCCACTATGCCACGGAATTTAGCCGCTCTGCATGTGGACGGCATGTCTACGAATATAAATGGAGTGCCTATACAAACACCAACGACAGGCATGTTAAATTTCGATTCCCTGATGGATGGTGGTACTGGCTTGACACCAGTGTCGGGTCCATTAGTGCCAACATGCTCCTCACAAAACAAGCATCCACTTGAGCTGACCACACCCACAAGCGAACCATCCAAATTAGTTAGTTTATAACAATAGAAACAAACTAAACCAAGTTGTTGCCTGCAATGAAGTTGGAGGCGTGAAGTTGCTGGAGCATGAAATCAACAAAGCTGGTCTTGGCTGTATGGCTGCAAAGTTATTAAATATTAAATATTAAATGTTTCGCATAGAAATAGAAGTAAAATTATTTGTTAAAATTATATTTTCGTTTTATGTTTTTTGTAACTTCTGAATGCTTTAAAAGAATATATAAGTTAGTGTAGTTAAAAACAAACAACAACAAACAAGTCAGTTAAATATTTTGTGTTTTTTTTTTATATAAGAAAAACTTGTTTGTAATATTAAGAAAATTATTTTTGTAATAATTATAAAAAATTAAATTTAAAACTTTTTTATAAAACGAATTATTTAGCGAAATTACTTTATAAGAATCAATTAAAAATTTATACATATATAAATTTTTTAATATTTATAAAATATTTTAAAAGTATTTTAAGATTTAATGTTTTTTGTTAAATTTGATGTTTTGTATTTTTCGAAAATATTTTTATAAAAAGTATTTTCTTAATTGTAAATGTAACAAATTACAAAAAGATTTTGTATTATTATTTTTAAAGATTTACTAAATAAAATAATTAACAGTTAAATTTTCTTTTTTGTATTATTTAATTTCAACTTTATTACCTTAACTATAACTGCTATATTTTAATAAATAATTTTTTTTGTTTTAATTTTATATGTTAATAACAAAAACAAAAATAAATTTGTAATTGTGCAATTTTCGTATAAAAAGGCAAAGTATAATAATGTTAAACATTATAAGCAAATCAGTTTATAGCAAAATGATTTTGTATAAAATGGCAACGTTTCCTCCTGATTTTAGTTTCTATAATTTCTATTTTATTTTTTACAAAAGTTGCAAAAACTTTTTACAAAAAACAAATAAAAAACACTTTAACGAAAAAGATAAAGGCGTTGTGATATTTAAAATAAAAAATGTATGAAATGCAAACACAAAACAAAAGATAAAAGGAAATTTACTTTATAAGATTTAAAAAATATAAAATAAAAAAATACTGAATATATGCTTTTTATAGTAAAAAACAAAAAAACATAATAAACGAATATGGCCTTTAATATTTTATTTAAAATTATATGCAAATTGTTTATAATAACTTAAAACTTAAAATTTTAAAAATATTTTGTGAAATATATATATAGTTAAAGAAATAATTATTTATATAGAACTTATAATGTGGTCGCCTTGTAATTTTCTCAAATTTGTTTTTAAATTGTATTTGAATTTGCTGCATAGCCTTAAAAACTATTGAAAAGTAATATTTTAAAATTAATTGTATTAACTGAGAAGCAATTTCATATTTTTTTATCATAAAAAAAAAAATCAAATAAAATTTTAAAATAAAAATTTAAACGAATATTTTTGCTTGACAGCGCAAAATTTTATTGCAGAAAATTTAAATAAAATCAATTAAATTATTTAAAATTTCAAGTGAAAAATCATTATATATACAATATATAGATATATACATATATATATATATGAATATTTATATTTATATAAAATTGACAAAAAGAAATTATGTATGTAAAATTACAATTCAAATCGATATAAATTTTAACTAGCGTTACGCTAAAAATTTTGCAATAAAAATTTCAATATTTTGCGAGAAAAATAAAACTAAAATTACCAAAATCCATGAAAAAATAAAATCAAATAAAAACTATAAAAAAAAACCTTTTTATTTAAAGAACCAACGTTGTTGTTGTTGTTGCTACCCGCTGGGATCTGCTTGTAAAATCTCTTTAGGTCGTGTTGAACGACGCTTGGTCGTCTTCGACGAGTGGCTTCGAGACGTAGACCCGTAGATCAACGTTGTTGTTGTAATCCGCTGAGACCTGTAAGCAGATAATATGAAAGGATATGGGGATAGAATGGGAACCAACCAAACAGCGCTTAGATAGATATTTATATAGAGTGCCAGAGTTCTTAGAAATCGTTAACTCTATTAAACTTATGCCACAGTAACACTACTTGGGTATCAGACTTTAAACACATAAATTTCTTCAGATCTAAAATTATGCTAAGAAATCAGAAAATTCGCATATATAGCTTTTTTATTTTATTTATTTCAAATTTATTTATTTTATTTATTTTTTTTTATTAATCCTTCTAAATGCATGCAAGCTATTTGATTATTAAATCATATCAAATGAACTAGAGTTTAATTTATCATAGAAAAGTACTTTTGAAAATATATATACTATATACCAATGCTACTGAACGTTTAGTCTTACCGAATGCGATACATTCTCGAACTTAATCACAACATATTAAATCTTAGATGATAATGAGTAAAAAAATAAATTCTAAGCTAACATACTAGGGGCAACATTACTGTAGGTTGTAGTGCCGGCCTTATACATCAAACCCCACTTGAGCACAAATAATGGCTCGTTATAATACCATAGCTTAGCAGTGTTCATATGCATACCAGAAGTACTCCCAACGGATCGTAGTGGTCAGCGTACAGGCAATGCTGAAAAGCACGGTTAAGTGAACCAATCTCACAAGCCTATAAACTTGATCAAACCTCTAATTTTGCTGGATTACAGCTATGTCAATTCGGTAAGAAAACATGCATCATAAATTTTTTATCTTCTCTTGGCCAATGAAGGTATTGAGAAAGATAATAAAACACATATTTCTTATTCCCCTTAGAGTCACAACCACAACAAATATGGTACTTACGCTATAGGCCCAGAGTTATAGCAAGTCTTCCTAGTAAGCCATGGCCTGTTAGCATCTATACCGTAGTACTGATCAGATTGCGCTTTAGTTCAAACAGTTGACTAATGCATCACTTGTCTACTTTGTACCAGGCTTAGATTGTAGAGGCAAGCAGAAGACAAAATGAATCAACGATATGGTAACAAACTTAACAAAATGGGTGTGCATAATTAAAGTCTTTTATATTAGATCAGGTAAAATGGGTCATATTGTTTATAAAATCACTAGTCTTTCAAAGTCTATGATGCTTAGAAGAATTGGAGTATCAAAATGAAACTCAATTAGATTTCATAGGGTTTTAGGGTTATACCCCAAACCCTAAAAACCTTTGAAACCTAATTGAGTTTCAATTGAGTAAGAAGAAATTCCATTTCTTCTTAGCATTATAGACTTTAGAGTAGTATTTTAAGGTTTGAAATAGTTTCCACAATACTTACTCAAATAAGAATCAAATAAATTTTTAATATTTAGACCAAATCTGCATTTAATTTCATTATTTAGGTATATGTTCATGAGATTTTATATAATGATTTTTTTTTTGTAAATTTTATATACAGAAATTTTTTTTAACTTAATTGCATTTAAGGAAAATACTCGAAATTCGCATTTATTTACGTCTGCATTTGCTTACTTATATGTAAATATGAATAAATAAAAGAGTCAGAAAAATATATCAGAAAATGTGAGATGTTTAATTTATTTACGAATTACAAATTCAAGTTCATTTACACAACAACAGCAGAATTAAAATACATAAAAAGATATAAACGAAAAAAGATACTTTAGAGTTTTTCTCCTGCTTTTATTTCGAACGCGAATTCTACCTAAAATACAAGAAGTGAAGAAACAAAGGCTCAGTACGCTTAAAACCAGTAAAGTGATAAGAACGGTGAGCAGACGATCGACAGACATAGAGAATTACCCGTAGTCAGCAAAATCAAAGGTTTATCAGGCAAGAAGAAAAGAAAGGGAGCAACGAACGCAAAACGAAAATTAATAAAATTTATAGAAGATTCAGTAAAAACTGTCGATCATTAAAGAATTCAGCAGCTAAGATCGAGTAGAGAACAATGTTACGTGCAGTCTCCAAATTAGTGTTGAGTCCATTAACAGGACGTCAAGTGAAAATGTCTCCTGATAATGTGATTTTTATAACCGGCTGTGATTCTGGACTTGGGTGAGTACAAACAGTGAATATGATCAGTAAATGATCAGTAAATTTTTGTGATCGTTCATTAAATTAAAATAATTATTCAACAACTTAATTTAAGTGCTCTGCAACTTGATTTAAGTCTTCTATAACTTGATTTAAGTGCTCTACGACTTAATTTAAATGTTCTGCAACTTGATTTAAATTTCCAATATTCATAATAAAAATTATATCTTCGCATAGCTTTTCTCTAGCTTTGTTTTGTCATCGGGCACTAAATATGACCGTCATATCTGCCTGTCATAATATTGATTCCGATGGTGCCAAAATGTTGCAAAAGTTGAGCGACACAAAACGTATGCTAACCATCGAATTGGACTTATTAAAGCAGAACACAATTGCGCATGCGCATAAAATCACAAATGAACTTTTAACTCAGAATCGGGATTATAAATTCACGGCGCTGGTGAACAATGCTGGCGTCATGTGTTTTGGAGAATTCGAATGGCAAACTCAAGATCAATTTGAAATGCAAATCAATGTTAATGTATTGGGCACTATGCGATTAACAAAGGAAATGCTACCACTGGTGCGGGAACATCACGGCAGAATTATCAATGTGACCAGTCATTGTGGTTTACAGGTAAAAGAAAATTGATAAAACATAGATAATAGAACATTTTATTAAAGAATGAGAATGAGAATTCTATTAAAGATAATAGAAAGTGGATGTAATTCTATACACATGGAAGTGTGGAAGTAATATAGACATATATACATATATATAATATATATATATTTATACACCTTCTAATTCAAGAGTAGGAGAAAATATTCTGTTGATTCTTTACCAATTTTTTAAACTGTGTGGCTCCTTGTTCCATATAAATGACACAACAAAAATTGTAATTTAGAGTGAAAGAATCCTGTTATTAATGAAACAGATTTGAACCCTTGAAATGACGATATATAGAAGACGAAACTATAAAACAGAATCTCATATCTTCGAAACTTTAGAAGTCATTTCTTCTGGGTTAACCTTCTAAAATTGAAATTTTAATATATTATTATAAAATTATTATATAAAATATTATTTTTTTAAAAAATTAATAGATAGTATATAATAGAGGTTGTAGTTGCCGGTATATTATTTGTATTGTAATTAACCCTTACCAAAAGAAGTCATTCATCCTTTCAAATCAAGGTCAGAATGCTATTCGTTAAGAAGTGTCTAATATCAAATAGGCTCAAAAAGTTCCATCTCAATAGTCTTTTCCTGACTCAGATTAAAGCTAGGTAATCATAAAAAATGTGACTAAAACTATTAACCCCTACCATGTATACTTAGCTAATCTGGATACCAAATTATCAGTCATATTATTATAGCATAGACCAATAATTTAAATCCAATAATTAAGTCCAATTCATCATTTATTTTGTCGATAAATTCTTGAGGTTTAATTAGGTTAGATAAGGTTGATGACCTAGCACACTATTTTTCATTTGAACACAAGTAAGGATGCATTGTGATACCACCGATAAAAATGTTGGTATTGTGCCAGACCAAGAAGACCACGAAAATAGATATATAAATTAAAACGGTCTGCATGTAGACTCCCACATTTAACTAAATTTAACCAAACTGACAAATCAAAAAACTGAGCTATATCTCTATCAGGTTCTATCAGGTCGATGAGGAAGGTGCCAGAGAGGTATTCAATTTTCTTCTATCTAAAGATAAGCACTGACACATAAAATAAAACACAGTTTCCTACTATTCTCCATCACCAGTCACAAATAAACTCACAGATTAAAATCAAATCTCCTTGCATACGCCGCTTTATTTGAAGTAGCTTGTTGGTACTTTTCTTAACAAACAAGTCTTGTAGTCCGACAAGAATCTTCATATATCCGAACTTCTTTAGCTATTGTTAAATATTTTTGTTTGATGACCAGCTAAGCAATTGTGAGTAGGTTACCAATGTTCAGGGATTGAGTTTCAGAGAGTTAACCGAGATGCACCTGTGTTCAGGTACCCAAATGAGTTAGATACTGGAAAGGCGAGACAATTCATCAAGAGAAACCTGGCGTTCTGGGACTATTGAGAATGAAGCTAAAGCGCTTACTAGAGGTTTGATAGCAGCTTGGATGGAATAGGCAGTACTGAAGGTGTGTAAGTTTTTAGTATTCTTCTCACACCTTATTACATACTTTAATCAATTTTTGTTATTAGCATAAAGGATTCATAATGTAGGGTACAGTTATGATTTGTGATGCAATTATATCTTAATATATCGACATCCTAATATATATACAGATATCTTAATATATATATATAATCTTAATATATATATACAGATAACTCAGCAATTCCCCGATATTATTTGTGCGTTGCTGTATTTTATCGGTGCTATAACCTACATCCGGTTTTGACATTCTTCAATAAATCATTTCACAGATTCTGACTGCAAATCAATACGATTCAATTAACTACATCTTTTAAAATAACTAAATACTGCTCAGTTCCATATTAAGGTGGATAATAGATGGACAATAGATAGAATTAGAACTTATTAAATTTAAATGCGCACATAAAGTATACACTTCAAAGATCTCTCTTCAAAAATCTCTCTAATCTTAAACATACAAAAATATATATACAAATGTCTTAAGGCATGTTATACCCGTCTATGTTCTATACGCCTACTATTAGTATTTATATATATAGAGTTTTTGCAATCATTCCACAGGCACTACCTGCGCTCAGTTGTTATGCAGCCTCAAAAGCAGCATTACGCTTTTGGAATGACTCTTTACGAATCGAAATGCAACAATATGGTGTTGAGGTGGTCAACTTTATACCAGGCTCTTTCGTTATGGCCAGTAACATATCCGCTAGACAACAACAACACGCAGAACATATGTGGGAAGACTTCACAGCCGAACAACGAGTGTTTTATGGCAGTTATTTCAAAAAGTTCAATGATTACTTAAAAATACTGTCCGGTTTTAAGGCCCCCAATCAAGTGCAGGATGAAGCGTTATTATTAAAATTCCAAGAAGCGCTAACAAATACAAATCCAAAGGCTTTATACATACATGAACCATGGCGGTAAGCTATAAATTTCTATTAACATTTAAAATTTTTTTTTTTTTCATAAAAAACAAAATTCCGTTTTAGTTATAAACTATATCGCGTACTATTTCGCATTTGTCCTACACCAATTGTTGATTGGCTGACAGTAAACTTTTGTGCTATGCCAACTTATGAGCCGCTACCATCACCAAGTATCGTCTCGGTAACTACCAATGGTCACACTAAACAATGATTCGTGATTTTTAATAACATATACAATATATTTTATAATAATAAGTTTATATAAGTATTTTAGTTAGTTACTTAGCTTTAAAATAAAATTTGATAAATAATTCGTTATAAACGCTGTAACTGCGTGCTGCATAGATTTAGTGTTTTAAAAACAGCATCAGAATTCTTTTTTTTGTTTTAGTGGTTGGGCAAATGAATAAAAAATTAAATGCCACATCAATATCGAGTTGTCGTTTTTATTTATATATAATTTTGTCTTTCCATTCCATTCATTCATAATGTTTAGGATTAGGATTTGGATTATTCCAAGTATCGCCTAATGCATCATCAGAACCACTGCGACCAAGTACAGCCATTATATAAATGATCACAATAAATGCTGTTATACCGCTGAGCACTAAGAACCACGTACGTCGCCAGGGCGGACGTGATGATGGTGCATAGAAACGCCTTGACCAGCGAGCAAATATTTCTGCTGGTGTACGTCTTTTGTATTTGTTTTCATCTCTATCGGTGCCACCAATTGGTGGCTGACGTGGTAATAGAGGTCTTCTGCTGCTAGCTATAATTAAAAAAAATTAAACAAATTAAATTTTCTAATGCAAATATGTGAAGCAATGGTTCAAAATTATCTTTTATGTACCTTGAACATCGTTTGCTGTTGGTGGACTAAACGCATCCATTAGAAGAACGGAATGTGGATTCTCATGTTTCATTGCGGCTGTAGGGAAAACACCATTTGACTTGCTATGCACCTTGGTCATGCTACTAACCGCAGCAGTGACAGGTGCATGCGTATTAACTTTGCTACTGCTCACCGATGCTGAAGACTTAGCGGTAGATGAATAGTCTTCTGGTAACTGTAAAAAATTTAATTATATTTAAGATTTATTAAATGTTTCTTAATATATTAATTAATTAAATTTATATTAATTATTTTCTGACACTAATTATTTATTTTATGCTGTATATATTATATAAACATATAAATACAATATTATTAAATATCAAAATATTTTTTTAATTCAAGTGTGAAATATTCAAAAATTAAAAAATTAATCTTAAATAAATAAATGTTCTGATAATCCCCTGAGTAATTATCATTGATTAAAAATTAAATTTTCTGGAACGTGGCAATTAAGTACTTTGTTATAGGCTTCGATAGAAGTTGATTTCCTATTTCATTATTAAACAGTTACTGTTTATATTGTAGCTTAAGATCTACGTAGTAGGATATTTTTTTTAAATACTTATTTAATTATTTATTGCATCTTCTCTTGCAAGGAGACTAACAATAAGTTTTAAAATCTTATCACTAATTACATAATATTATATTTTTTATTTTAACTACACATTGTATAATATAAAATAAAATAAACAAACTTTATATCACGGATCTCACTTCAATCAATGGATTAAATTTCATTGGAGTGAATATTAGATGGTTTATTAAGAAGGCAATGAATCTTTATCAGATTACTAAAACGAAGATTCGTGTTTTTACTTGAAACTATTGAATATTAAGTAATAGCTGGTCAGCTCTTTTTAGGCGCGAAGTAATAGATAGAAGTACAAGAATCCTAGCTAAGGGGTTGACATGTTCTGTCACCCTTTTATTGTATTTTTTTCCGTATATTGTCAAATTCAACTTTAGAATTTGTCGATCTCGGTGGATACTTTCATTTCTAATATATCATGGAGCACCAGTGATTGTTCAAAGTAGTTTTCACTGAGCTTTTTGGATAATTACAAAGCATAATTAAAAAATGATTAACTCTTTGGATAGCAGAATAAATAAAAGAAATTACATGAATAGAAAAGGTTACAGGGCCGGCACAGTCTACGTTCTAGATACACTTATTAACTACAAGTGCCACACAAAATTCTCAAGCGGACTATGTCAGCAAATATATATAGTATACCTTATAGTATTCCAAATATTCTACTGATTCTTATGAATTCTCCTGATGAAGGCAAAAGCGAATTTGCCGAAATACGTATAGAAATTTACAAAAGATTTACGCTTGAAATAAAAGTTAATGTTCTTAAAAAAATAAAACTGACTTTAAAATTATGATATGATTATAGAAGCGGCTGTAGCCTGTCATCTTTCGATAGTAAAAACTGTTATCCTCTTTTTTGTCTCTTCGGGTTAAAAGAACTATTATATTAATATTGATATAAATAAGATAACATAAAGCATGGATAGATCAATAACGTGAATAAATCTAAGATTACCTCTCGGTTCGAACTTAGTATTATATAAATAATAAAAATAAAACTTATAAAACAAAATATTTACCAAAGCTAAACCTAGACCGTTTCGTCCCCAATTCGCTTGTGACAAATACGCTTTTAACGCATCAGCTACAGGGGAAACTAAATTTGATGTTGGAAAAATTTCGCTATCGCACGTTGGGCAGAGATGTCCTCTAGGCGCTGTATTCGCTGGCAAAGCCGATTGTCGTGCATTAAGACAATCCCAATGAAATACATCTATATATTATAAACAATTTATTTTAATATTATATAGCACTTTTTTAGTTAACCTTTCTCACTCACGGTAACAAATTAGACGCACACAATCGCCCTGTTCCAGTGATGTATTACACAAAGTACAAGAACTGATATAATCACTATCGCGTAACCACTGCAAATATGATTGCACTATGCACTAAGAGGAAGATAACAACAATAAATTGGTTAAAAATTTAGTTTTTTAATTAATAACTTTAAATATTTTAGTAAAACAAACCTTTGGATGACTTTGCACCATACAATGTTCACAGACATTGACGCGATGTTCAAAACAGAATTGATTTGTTACTTGCCTCTTGGGACATTTGCACAAACCCATTTTGTATTAAATTTTTAAACTTTTACTTTTGTTTATCTTGCCACGGTGTTATACTAATCTGATCGGTTCAGTGGCCTCCACCCAAACATAACTTCAATCAATTCGTTTAGTACAAATTAGTTTATTATACTTTTTATATTATATATAATTTTTGATATTTATTTACTGTGTACAATATAGTAAATATGTTTATTATTATAATTGTATTAAATTTTTTTCCATTTATTATATTTTCGTTAGTAATCTGAAATTCGTTTGACAGCCACGTATTCGTTTGAGTGGAACTCAATCTGCACTCAAACAGGGTTTACACAACGAAAACAAAATTATTTGAATTTCAATTTAAATTAGTAACTGAGATATATGAATTCATTTAAAAAAAATATATATATATAAATGTATATATATATATATAAATAAAATGAAAATATAAAATACTTATAATATAACTTTTCCATAAATAAGAATAATAACATATCTATATGTGTAATTCTAGAGTTTAATGGCGTTTTCGATTGATAAATCTGGAGTAACATTTTTAATTAAGATTCTCATTTAGTGCAATTTTCATTTTCGATTGGTAAATCTATATAACACTCGAGATTAATGTATAACACTCGAGATTAATTTGTAACACTCTAGATATTTTGCCAGAGTAGCAAGAATACACTAAAATTAATAGCTGTTTTATATGACGACAGTCTGTGGTTTGATTCGATATATATATTTATGAAATATATAAGTATCTACTTAACATAACTATAAAATTTTAGATTACTCTAAAAATGTTCTTTTGGACAACAATATTTAACAGATCTAGAGTAATTCTAGATTGCGCCAGATTTACCAAACGAAGTCACTATAAGTTAGCGATGTATCATATTATTAGAAGTATTCAGACTTTCGATATTCGGTAAAGTGATAATATAACAAACGTCGTTGAACGAAATTGCCAAAGTAACTGCTTTTGTTTCCATTTATTTTATTATATATATAAATTATATTATATTATATAAATTATATTTATAATTATATTATATATATATAAATTATAATGAAATTTATATTAACTTATATTATTTAATTTTTTTATTTCTTTTAATACTTCTTTGCTAAGTTTATTAATTACATGAATTTTTAAATTAAATTTAAGATTCTATAACAGATATTTTACTGAATGCCGAAAAAATTATAAGATCTGAAGCCGCGGTAATTTGTTAACTCGGTAACAATGTGAATTTATAAAAACAAATACACATACAATTTTAAAATCAGTACAACTCACAGTAAATCCCAAAAAGTGGGAGCCCCAGGATTTCATA